GGGGTAAAACACTGGCTGGACAGCCAGGAACCAAGAGTGGTGGGGAATGGAGCTAAATCCAGTCACAAGTGGTGTCCCCAGGGCCCAGTACTGCAGCCTGTTCTCCTTAACATCTTCATCAATGACCTGGACAAAGGGATCAAGGCACACCTCAGTAAGTTGCAGATAACATCAAGTTGGATGGGTGTGTTGATCTGCTGGAGGGTAGGAGGCTCTACAGAGGGATCTGCCCAGGCTGGACTGGGGGGCCAAGGTCCGTGGGATGCGGTTCAACAAGGCCAAGGGCCGGGTCCTGCCCTTGGATTACAACAACCCCCTGCAGCGCTCCAGGCTGAGGGAAGGGTGGGTGGAAAGCTGCCTAATGAAGAAGGCCTCGGGGCGGGGCTGGTTGACAGCTTGCTGAACTTGAGCCAGCATGTGCCTAAGTGGCCAAGAAAGCCACCAGCGTCCTGGCTCGGATCAGCTCTACTGTGGCCAGCAGGACCAGAGCACAGATCATCCCCCTGGGGTGACAGGAGCGCCGACATCCCCCCTCCTTTGCCAAACACTCTTTGCCCAGGGCATGGTGAGGGTGGCCACCTCCTCGTGCGGGCGCTGGCCCTCTAGGCTCACAGTGCTGTTAGAGGCCAGAGGCCCTTCCCCCACTACAAAACCCCAGTTGCTCCAAGCTGTTTCATTTCTGTCCAAAAAAGGCTCCTGCTGCTGCTCCAGAGCTTCACGAGCTACACAGAAAACCTGCTGAGCAAGCGAGCTGTGCCCCCGGCACAGGCAGCAGGACCCAGCATGTCTGCAGGGCTGACAGCCAGGAGGTACTGGTCCAGCATGCTGAAGCTGGAGGCCTTCTACCAGCAGCTCCTGGCTGAGGTGAGACCTTTGGGGGCTCTGATGAGCCATGGCCTGAGCATGGGGGGGTCACGGAAACGGCCCTCACCTCACCACCTGTGATTTGAACCATGAAAAGGTCGTGGTCCTTTTTGGGGGTGCCAGAATTCAGCTGGCAGAAGCAGGAGCCAGTGCAGGAGGTGTGAGAGGAGGGGCGGGCACTGGAAGGGGAGCCAGGGAGCAGGTTTCACTACTGAGGTTTCCCATGGTGCAACCACAGCTCTGCTGGAGTGGTGGTGGCTGGAAAGCTGCCCGGCATGTTGGAGAAATTCAAATCCCCTGAGCCGCCCATCAGGGAGTGAGAAGCAAATTCATTTTGGTTGTCAGCCACGGGCTTTGGTCCATGTCCTGGCTCAGGCAACCCGAGCGTGTGGCTGCTGCCCTCCTCCACGTCAGG